ACTTGAGGGTTGATTGAGGATACTTTCCCTGAGAAGGTTCCAAGGCTTGTCTAAGGCAGTATGGTTTGTCCCTAAGCCAGGCCCAGAACTCAGAGTTCCTGTTCCTTGATTTAGTCTTGTTTCCATCAGGCTTCATGACTTCAGTGATGTCATGAGGCACCACCTTGATTCCATTTATATGGGCTAGAAGAAGGGGAGGGGGACATTTCTCTGCAGTCACTGTGTTTGAAGGAAGGAAATTTTGGTGTCATACAAACCTAAGCAAATACCAACTCAACCACTCACATCCTGGCTGTATGTTTTTTAGCAACTCAACTTCTGTACATCTGTCTTCGTTTTTCTTCTATAAAGAAAGTAAAACCTGACTGCAGAGTTATTTTGAGGAATGATTACTGATATTAAAAGAAGAGATGAGTTAGGCATAGAGAGATTGAATATCACATTTGGAGAATCAAAGCCCAAGGGGAGATAGTGTTCTGTTGGCATAAGCAACAGAAGGGGCAAAGGATAGACTTTTTACTATATTATCTTTTTTACATCTTCGAGTTTTTGAATCATGAGAATATACTGTTTATTCAAATTAATAAAATTTTAAAATAGAAATAAAATAGAACAATTAGTAAGTACTAATGGAACAATATTTCGACAGAAAATTTCCTTGGGCTGAAAAAAGAAGTGAGACTATCTCATATCCTGCTTAAGATCCTAAATTCCAGGGATAGAAAGAAACTTGTGAGTGCTCAGACAGAAATTTTTTGCTGTGGTAGGCAAAATTATGGCTCTCCAAAGAAGTACATGGCCTAATCTTAGGAACCTGCCCATAAATATGTGTTACGTGGCAAGGGGGAATCAAGTTGCAGATGGAATTAAGGTTGTTAATCAGCAGACTTTAAGCTTAGGTTGTTCTGGATTATCCAGGTGATCCAAATATAATCACAAAGATCCTTAAAGGTGGAACAGGGAGGAAGAAGAGTTAGCATCAGAGTGATACAATGTGTGAAAGACTTGTCTGGCAATTGCTAGTTTTGAAGATGGAAAAGGGCCACAAGCCAAGGAATGCAGGCAGCCTTTAGAAGTTGTAAAAAGCAAAGAAATGGCCTCTCCCATAGAGCCTCAAGTAAAAAACATAGGCCTGCCACCTTGTTTTTAGCCCAGTGAGACCTATTTCAGACTTCTGACTTCCAGGTAATAAATTTTTGTTTCAAAGCCACCAAGTTTGTGATAATTATTACAGCAGCAATAGGAAATGAATACATCTACATAAAACAAGAGAATCAGACTAGCATTGGGTTTCTCTTCTAGAAGACCAGAAGCCAGAATTTATTGAAATGATATCTGTAGATTACTGAGGAAAAACTATAATCCAAAAATATTCTACCAACCTAAAATACAATTTGTGAAAGTGCAAGAAACTTTTTTGGACATATGAAGATTTAGAATATATTATTTACTGATATAAATACCCAAGAAAATGGTCTAGCTAAATTACATCTGAAATAAAACTATCACCTCAAGACAAGGGAAAGCAATGAAATCCAATGGCCAGCAGTAAATGTCTCACTCTCTCAGAGTATATTTAAATTTAAATGGAAATCTGAGTGAGTCTTACAATAAGTAATATAAGCATAAAGTAAGTGAAATCAAATAAATGAAAGAAGAGCAAAGCTAATAACTTTGGATTAAGAGTTTTTATTAGGTTAGTGAAATGGAGGAAAGATTAAAGAATGGGCTATGAAGGGAGGAAAAGAGCAAGCAAGGGTGGTCTCTTTTTGGAAGAGAGTGGCAAATAAAATTCACCGTGGGTGAGAAAGTATTATAGTGATCTCATTCTGCCCAAATAACGACTATTAAGAAAGGGAGATAGCCACTAATCTAAACACAGTGGAAGTTCCAATTTAGCAATAGAAAAGGGAAAATGATCAGCCAACACGAGGAACAGAAAAGACCAAGGTAACAAATAGCACACAAAGTAAAACGAAAAGAATAAAGTTGAATTATTACCCTAAATGAAAATGTGAATTTACCTATAGAAAAAAAGATTCATATTTTGAGTTTTGAAAAATCAGCTATAGTCTTGCATTGCTTAATGATGGAGATGAATTCTGAGAAATGCATCATTAGGCGATTGTGTCACTCACCATGCGAATATTACTGTGTATTTACACAAATCTAGATGGTGTAGTCTCCTCCACACATAGGCTATGTGTACACCCTGTTGCTCCTAGGCTACAAACCTATATAGCATGTTACTGTACTGAATACTGTAGGCAATGGTAATGCAATGGTAAGTATTTGTGTATCTAAATGCATCTAAACATGGAAAAGATACAGCAAAAATATAGTGTAAAAGATAAAAGATAAAAAAAAAAAAAGGTATCCCTGTACAGGACAATTGCCATGAAGGAGTCTGCAGGACTGGAAGTTGCTCTGGGTGACTTAGCGAGTGAGTAGTGAGTGAATGTGAAGGGCTGGGACATCACTGTACACTACTGTAGACTTTATAAACACTGTAC